GTGCAAAGATAAGGCGACATCGGCGAGACAGCTTCCTTGCGGCTTTCACTGCCACGCGTCATAATCAGCCATTACCCCGCAGATAACTCAGCACCAAACATACTTTAAACAGGCAATCGGATTAGAAGACGGCAGCAGACGCGCCACTGGTGTCGGTTGCGAGCCATGTCCTGCAAAGTCTCGAGCCAAGCACAAGGTGAGTCACGTGGACTCCAACCCGGAAGGCGAGACGGACCAACGGCACCCAGTTTGGTTGTCAGTGACTTCATTTCACGCTGCCAAGTCAACTTCTGTCCACCTCGAGCCTTGCGCCATCCTACACCAGGGAGACTGAACAAGGCCTTCCGAGGTAAGCGGTGACCAGGCATATGTAGCACGTGCCCGAGCCAACGCAACTTATTCAGTGCTATCTGTTGTTCTAGGGTGCTAGCATGATTATCACTACCTAGTACTCGCCTACGCACATCATCGTTGGGGATACGCTGGTGCCATCCGACACCAGCAATGCTTCGCAAACAACGATGATCAAAGACTTGAAGGCGCCTCAGATCTTCAGACCGAAGGGGCCAAGTTTCACTACCATAGAGCAGAACGGCCCTCACCGTGGCTTTGTATACACGGCCTTTCAAACGGAGGGAATCTCCCTTCTGTCGCCAAAGATGACGCAGGCTCAAGAAGGCAGCTCTGGCCTTTGCAATGCGTGAGCTCACGTCAGTTTCTATGCGCCCATCATTACTGATGCAGCTGCCAAGATAAATGAAATGATCAACCACCTCGAGTTCCTCGTTAGCAAGCGTCAAGGGGTCATCAAGTGGCTGGTGGTCCTGCAGCAACACATTGCACTTTGAAGGTGTGAAGTGCATACCAAATAATGGGACCACTCTGGACAGGCTATTCAGGGTTGATTGTGCCGCCGCAAAATCGTCGAAAAACAAGACGATATCGTCCGCATAATCTAGATCAACTAACCTTTCACCTGGCAGCACTTCAACGTCTACATCTTTGGATTCCGCAAGGTAACACTCCATGATAGAATCCATGACGAAATTGAACAAAATCGAGAAAATCGGCCAACCCTGACGAACATCACTTGTTATCAAAAATCTATCCGACAAGCACCGTAGACCCTGACGTGGTCTTAGTGTTCAAGTATAGAGCACGTAGGATGTTCACATATCGTGGGAACATTACCGCGCAAGTATTTCGAACAGAATGGATCGATCGACTGAAGCGAACGCACTCGCACTCGAGGAACACAGCTATTATCGGTCTGCAGTATGCGTGGCGCTGCTCTAGCACCTGCCGCAGAGTGGATATATGGTCTATACAGCCACCTCGTGAGCGGAAATCTGCCTGCTCTTCCCTAATCCGAGATTCCCGTTCCACAGTGATGCGACGAACGCGAATCCAGGCCAGTAATTTTGTTACAACTGGCGTTAGGCTAATACGTCTGTGGTTAGAACAGTCTGTGCGACTGCCGTTCTTTTATATGGCCACTATAATTGATTCGCTCCAATTAGCCGGGACATTTTTTTCCAGATACGTTGGAATAGGGAGGTCAGTGCTTTGCGGAGGACCTCACCTCCATCCTTAAATAGCGCAGGTGGGAGGGAATTCGGACCATCGGCACGAAAACGATTAATGACTCTGATCGCGTTTCGAATCTCGGTCTCTGACGGCAGCTCTAAACTAACGGTCCATGGCTCGTGCTGCATCACTTGAGTAGGAAGAGGTCCAGGAGCAGGGGCCAGCTGAACTGATTTTGAGAGTGTTCCGCCCCACAAGTCATCCGGCCCTCCTTATTGTGTATCAGTGCACCCGAGCTGTCCCTGATTGTCTCACTGACACCTGGTTTCCTGGGACCAGTGGTGCGGATCAGCTGGAAAAGCTTGCGGTAATTGCCTACCGCTCTTGCCTCCTCCATTTCTTGAGCCTGACTGGTTCACCAGTCCTCCTTGTCAGAACGTAGGCCATTTAGTCTGTCTGGTCACATTGTGCTCAGAGCCAGCCGGGAGGTCTTTTCCAGATTCCAACAGGTTCACCGACCTCTCGGGTATACAGTGACTAGTGCGGTGACGATTAATAGTGTCACAAGCAGATGCTCCTGCGTCGTGCATGGCGACCGAGATCCTATTCCACTGAAGCTTAGTGTCATTAAGACAAAACAGCGAAAGTTTGATACGTAGTGCGTCTTGATAAGCTTGCATGACTGAGGGCTGAGACAATTTCTCCGTTGCCAATCGTAGGGGACGCTTGGTGCGCCTCCCGGTAAAGTTCATGGCGAATTGACAGCGTACCAAAGCATGATCAGAGTCAAGTTCAAGTTCAAGTGGGACCAGAACAGTAGGATAATCCCGCGAATGTTCCACCTTCGAAAGTCGTTGATCTAACAGGGAAACGGGTGCTTTGATGTGCCAAAGGAGAACCAAATCAACACACACGATTCAAATGGTCAACCAAACAATGCCCACGTGCCCTGCACTAGCAGTACCCGCTGTGCCGGCCATGTGAAGCATAACAGAAAACATTAGTGTCAGTAAGGAAAGGAAACAGAGGAGACAAGTTTATCGATTTTCGTAGGCAATATTAAGATGTAAGTTAAAATGAGTTAAAGAACCGTAGGCCATAGTAGACGAAGAAAAGTTTAAGACATGAAGGGGAAGACTTTAAACTGCAGACCGAGAGCGTGAAGTCGATCCTCGAACTCTTTAACCGTCGGTGTCATCACGACGTCTGCAGGCGGTGCGTTCCAATAAGCTATGACCCTACGCGATAACCGAAAATCTGCCCAAATCCCGTCAGACCGGGGTTTGTGCAACTTTACTTGGTGGCCACGAAGAGTTGGGCGAAACAGTCCAGCCAAATCAGGACCAATCTGTCCCATCAATATACGATATGTGAGGACTAAGTCGCCCCGAAGCCGCCTGTAATACATGGAAAGCATATCCAACTGACGTACCTCTCCGGGTACGTCAGCTTCTTTAGTCCGTGCAGGAGGCGGTGACTTGAGATTTATGCAGCCATTTTCTAGTTTGTCGTAGAAGCACTAGATCAGCTGCACAATCGAACTTCTTTATGGATTAACTTAACCGGTGGCAGAACCGCTTATCAGTTTGTTCCCCTTTGAAAGATTGGCTAATGAACAGCTTGGGAACATCGGGCCGTTTTATTTTTCCGTTATTCTATTCTCCATGTCTAGTGAGATAAGTTTGCTGGAGTACCCATTATCTTCCCCGGAGTTCATACTGCGTGTCCTTTCCGGTAGTCACCTGCGAGTACTAACTCTCTGGGTTCTAGTGAGAACCGCTTTGCTCCTTAACGCCGATTAACTTTCGGTTTCTTTCACCGTATGAGGAGTCTGGAGTCGACCGAAAGACATGAAGAATATGTTGGAACCTTGTCGTATACCCGCCGGCCTGTAGCCTTAAGGAGCACAAGCCTGCCTTGTAATCCGAGGGCGCGAGTTCAAGCCTGCGTAGGTACCGGGCGACCCTCGCAACATACTCAGCCCACGTTCGACTGTGGTGCTGGCGTGACAGCGAAGCGTCGGTACTACGTACCGGCGTACTGCTTATGACTTTCTTTTTTGTTATAAGCCCAACCTGAGATATCCGAACTGTGTATGTGCTTTTAATGCTTCGATAAGTTTAATGGAGTCACGTGAACGAGTTCCGTTTGGTACTGAGTTTCAGTGCGCTCGTAACGCTCATCAACGGCTACTGATTAGGAATCTTAGAATTGACCGGGAACGCTTGTAGGTGGTTACGGCTCAGGAGATAGAAGAATCCATTATTACTGAGGGCAACACAGTACTATCTCATTGGAAGTAGTCCCACCATATAATTAGCTTCAAAGTGCATTGTTGTTGTGGGACCACTTAATGGCCATTTGATGCTTGCTAACGAGGAACTCTAGGTACCTGAGTGGTTTCTAAGTCTCGGCTGTGATGGGCGCATGACCACTGAAGTCAGTTCACATATCACGAAAAGCAGAATCACCTTCTTAAACCCGCGACATCTGTGGCGTCAGGTGATTTCCTTCGGTCTGTAAGGTCATGTACAGGGCCGCAGTTAGGGCCGTGTCACTCTGTGGAAGCGGGACCTGGTCTCTTTGGTCATAGGAAATGAATTATCTTCTAATGTTTGGTCATTGCTGTCTTTAGGGTGCTGCTAGTGTTAGTTGGTGCCATGGTATTCGCAACGATGTGGGCAAATGAAATGCTCGGCCGTGTGACAGTCAAGTTAGTTCTTTGAGATAACCAATAATATAGAATAATTTGCGTTGGCTTGTTCACGCGCATGTTCGACCACGCTTACCAAAGAGAAGCTTGTTTTATTTGACGTTGGGTGACGCAAGGCTCAATGTGGACAAAACCTGACATAGCAGCGTGAGCTAAAGTCGTTGACGACTGAACTGGGACCGTTGGTCCGTCTCGCTTTCCACGTTGGGCTCCACCCGATACCACGTGCTTGGTTCGAGACTTTACGTGACCTGATTCACAGCCAAAACCAGTGGCGCGTTTGCCTTTGTCTCTTATTCGGATTGCCTGCTCAAATTGTCTGATGCTGAGCTATCTGCGGAGAAGTGGCCGATCATGACGCGCGGCAATAAAAGCCGCAAAGAAGAATTTTTGCCGATGTTGAAAAGATGTAGGCGATCTGACCTTGAATGTTTGCTTGTGGCGTTTAGGTTTCACACTCAGTCTCTCTTCCCACCTTCTTATTGTGGTAAAGATTATAAGTGGGGAATCTCGAACAGAACCACCTTTTCAAACATAACCATAATCATCAATCCACCTTTTTCTCCGTCGTTCGTTGCAAATTTTTTCTCCGACATTGCCCGGCGAAACATCGCTCCTGACTTCGTATCGTGTGGTTACAGTGAACCAAGAATAAGGTAGCGGCTGGATTTATCACATTGGTATTCTCGACTTGTGATTGATCATTTGACTTGACGCCATTATTGTTATAATTATTTGGGTTTACAATTTTGTTTTTCAGATCATGTCTCATTCCTCGAAGCACCACATCGAAGTCAGCTCCGTGGCTTTGGTGGACCTGAAAGCAGAGATATCCCGCAGGCAAATCGAAGTCAAACAAAGGGCTCAGCAGCTACCGGAGGGTTGTACTGTGATAAAAAACAACTCTGCCGATTCTAACGCACAAAGAAAGTCTATTTGGCGAAAGCAGAAACCCGAGACTGAGGAAGTTCACAGTTTGACATTGAGTGAAACGGATGCCACCGAGCAAGATTCTCTGAGGCTTGAACAAAGCAGAAGAAAGCTAGAAGCGAAAGCTAAACTATATGAAGCCTTGAAAGCCGCTGCAATGTCAGGCCCTATGTCTCATTCGAAAAGCCGGCTTCACCCACAGGACGACGATGGCCTTCTTGTTGATTTCGAAAAGAAAATTGCTGAGGACTCAAAGTATCGGTCTGCATCACCTGTGCGATCGATCGATAGCGACCACTCAGATGAGGACGCCGAAACATGTCCTGCCGCTCACAGCGACGATGAGTGGGAAGAGTACACGGATAGCCAAGGTATCAAGCGAATGTGCATGCGAAAAGATAGGAAAAGTATGGAAAATCGTGAGCCCCCAATTCGTTCTGACGGCCCTCTGACTTACGCACATCTACGCGAAGGAGAAATACGCGATCATGGCGTGGGTTTCTATGCCTTTTCCGAGGATGCAGAACAACGCGAAGCTGAAATGGCTCGCTTGAAGGAACTACATAGAATTACAGAAGAGGGACGAGCACGGGCTCAGATTATTCGCGCTAAACGAGACGCTCGGATGGGACAACGACTTGCTCGTCTGAGAGCGCGCAAAGGTATGCCAGACGTTGCTACGGCTGCTGCCCAGTGCTTAGCAGAAACAAGTGCACCACCAACCCCGCTACCGGTTAGTGCTGATGCCCAGTCGGATATCCGGCTTAGCAGTGAGGATCTTGATGTTGCTTCCATGCTTCGGAGACTTCGAAATGAGGCAGAATTGCGCGCATCCCTCAACGAAACATCTACTACTGCCTTTGCGACACAGCCGAACAGTATGAAACCGAGTAACTTAGCAGACATATTGGAGTCCAATCGAACTGTTACGTCACGCGAATGGGACAGGGGAAAGTCAATGATTTCGGCACAACGTTATATCCAAGAAGAAAGAGAAAGGAGATTGCCAGAGTTTGCCCCGCCTTCGTTTTATTAACTACCACTTGGAATAATTTTGGACTTTAGCTGTTCATGATCAGATCCACATACAGTCAGTTTTTTGAACACTTGTCATTCCATACTCTTTCGAGCATGAACGTATGTGCACTGTGAATGTGTTCAAGATCCGAGGTGCGATCTATGCACCGCGTATCCGTCGTCCGAAGCATTCTTCCGTCCACCAGTTCGTTTATTTGAAAAACACACTTGTGAACTGTGCTATAAAACTGCCATCATTTAGCGTAGTAGTGTTACACGTATTTAAGAGCCCCCTGATCTTACGAGCCGTCGGGTCGGTTATATCTTAGAACGCCTTATGTTCACCACCGTTTCAGGCACTGAAGATTAGTTCTGTACACATATTGCCACTGCCGTTAGCCCTTTGTGTTCACGTCGCCCATATTACCCATTCCGTATTGCGTGTAAAGTTGGATATCACGTGTGTTGATGATTTCACACGACTGCAAACATCACTCTGACATCCGATTGTAAAGCTCATTTCTCCGCTCTTCGACGGTACAATGGCTTCCGTTTATTTTCCAGATGTCAGTTATGATTCCAGGGGAACACACTACAAACAGTGCAGATTCTTTGTTCCAAATTCGCACCAGTACCACGGAATCGGACGTCCGTTCGTTTCAGCAAAGACAATCCGATGTGTTTTCCTCATTGGCAAGTTTAGAGGCGGCACATGTGGAGGTCACGAAGGCGACGAAAGATATGCGTGATGCCGTCCGCAGAGCCGCTTGGCGCCACACAACTACTGCACCTGAGAACCTGGCTGCTGAAAAGAAACGCGTGAGATAGAATCTTAATGGTCGTACAATATTGTATACCGCCTATACAATCGTGACAGTTGTTCAGTGTTCACGCGGGCACACCAACCTAATACTAAATCCTGCTTTTTTAGCAAATAGCGTCAATTAATCAGTTCTCGCAGTTCCTGCTTGCCACTATATTTTTCAATGGGTTAATATTCTCTTGCCTCCCATCTGGTTACATCCATTTTAACGCGTTTTCTATTCGTCCTAACTATAACTACCCTTCTTGTGTTCTTAAGACTGCATGCTTTTCGAAGCAAGTACGCGACAAAGATCTCGGATCGATATTGTTACTATCGGCTGTGATTTCCAAAGCGGCTAACTTTGACCTATCTCCGAATTTCACCGCATTGGAAACAGCGACTTGGGTGCTACGGTAGAATTACGTATTCCAATGGTGTCATATTTGTCCACCTCTTTGTTAAAATTTTTGTATTAGGTCTGCCGAATTCAAGCTTCTTTACCTCTCACTTGCAGCGTGACGATTCCACTTCTGCCTCGCGTCCACGTGATTCACTCGCACTAGAAGACAATTTCCGTAGACCCAAGGTTCCTCTAGCTAGACGTCAAAAAGGTGGTGGTACCCAATCTTTGCGGCGTGACCCTCTCAAATGGACTCATTATAGCTTGGCAGACGTAGACGAAGATGGGTCAGCTGGGCAAGGCGGTGATCCGAATTTTGCAATCGCTTCTTCATTTATTTCCAGTCTACGAGAACGACAAGCAGTGGCATATAACCTAGAGGAAGACGATGGATCCGACGCGAACACGAAGGCTGAGCACCGAGTCCTATTCCGTCCTGTTCGCGGTAGCAAACGAAGCCGAATGGAAGAGAGGGAGCCACAGCCATCCGCAGTGCAATGTGTTGCCTTATCGGCAGCACAGAGCGAGGAGATCACAGAGTGTTCGGACACATCAGAACTGAGAACAAGTATACTTGATACTGCTGCGTCTGAGGTTTTCCTTTACCGCCGTCGGCGACCTCAGATTCGCGATAGAACCGGCGATGATACGATCGACTCGTTGGATGAGCCCACAAAGTCACCAGAGGGACTCATGCAACCCAACTTTTCGAGCAGCGAGGAGGACATAAGTGAAGATCTGATTGAAAACTTCCTGGCTTGACGATCACCCATTTTGTGATTTTCCTGTGGAACGCACAAATGTATTTGGCCATCAGTTATTTCATTTCTTAAGTAAATCTGTACGCATCCGATTGTTGTCCTCACCGGAGTTTGCTGCACAGAGTTGGCGAAAGCACCGCCTAATGTACCACTAAAAATGGTTTTATTCTCGAAATGTTAGAAATATTATAACCATCAAATTTGTTGCATCACATACCTAAACATACCTTTGGCTTCCAGAGAGTTGCATTTATAAAACGCATGCCGTCACTTGGATGGTATGTAAATCCAAATACTCCCAACATTCGTCGTGTTAAAGCCGTTCGGTAGTTTCCGACCTGAACTCTCATGTCTGTTTGGTATACCAATGAAGTCCACAAAGTTAATCACGTAGTCCGTCCTGGCTGTGTCGTACAGAGATGTCGTTCCTCAGATAAGCCACGGATTCTCACAGTGCACCAAGCAGGGCAGCAACTCACTGACAGGTCGAGGATAACCAAAATGTTGCGATTCGCGGAAACATATTTTGCTATATGGTGTTCGAAAAAAAACCCAGTTTGATAATGAGCCTTGTGACAGTTGGATGAGCTGCTAGTTTATCGAAAAAAACAGGGGAATACCATAAAAGACAGTCTCACTTACGTTGGAACGTCAAACTTAAATCTAAGCGTGGTTGGGGAGAGAAACACGGTATCTATGACACCTAAAGATGGACAGCAAAAGTGCCATTTGAAGCAAGGTCTCCTGTTGATTACTCCAAACACCATGCAGCGAAGCGGTTTATTTCCTTGCTTGGGCTCTTCGGATGGACGCGGTTTTGGGCGACCGAGATTGCTATGATTTACCTACTCTCAATTGAGACTGTGTGAACTGATAGTGTCAGTCTAGCTACCATGCAGCAGTGAACCATTCATGTCCTAGGCTTTATTTAAAGAGCTGAGTTGAGATCGTCGGGTCAAAGTATGGAATCCAGACGAGGGGCAAGTTCAGTTCAGTTGAACAATCATGATCCGGACATTAAAATGTGGCAGACTCAGTTGTTACGACTCGCGTTGGCAGAATAAGAAGGAAAAATAACGGGGAAAATGAAGTATAACGTAAAGGGGTTAAGAAATAAATCGAAGTGGAATGCTGACAGCTAGCTTGGCAAACATGAAGCTGGTCGCAAGGTGAACACTTGGAATTGGACCCCATGTCTGCCTTGCAGTCACAAACGCTAAGGTGGCTTCTATGCGGGTGATTCACTGATGAGTACTGGTAAACGCAGTTCGAAAATGACGATAGCCGACTAGAGTGGATGGTGCTTCCTTGTTGCAAAGGCCATTTGAGAATACATCGTCGAATGACAAGTGGCAATTTGTTACCTGTGTGAGTAAATTGAGGCTGTACATAAGGGCAAAGCACAGCCATTATGATAATGAAGTGGATTCGCTCCGTCCATGGTAGTCAGCTGCTGTGTGCACCATTGGTTGATTGGATATCTCCGTAATTGGTCACCTTGGTGAATCGTTTTTCTGTGCGTTTTATTTCTACCTTGGATATAAAATTGAGAACTTTTTATTTGAGCATAACACAGCACGGATATAAAGTGCAGAAGCACAGTTGGTGCATCTACCCGTATAAACTTATCGTACCGAAGTTGAAGCGGGTCGCTCACCAACTGTGTTTCGAACGCAGTGTGGTGAATGTCTGGAACGACCTGCCGCAGCACATAGTAGAGGCGAACTCAGTGTCCGAATTAAAGAAGCTCCTAGACAAACACTTTGCAGAGGCAAAATATATATAGAGAGAGGAACGGAACATAAGGAGTATATGTCCAAGAGCGACGAATGATGCAGCTACACAGAGAAACCTGTACCCGCTGCTTCGAACCAGTATTCAGTATTGCACTAGGTAATATACATATGGGTCGAAGGCTGCTCGCTTGGTCTGTGTTCTGCGCTAAGAGTTAAATGTGCGGTTGACCTGTTTATCATGATTTAGCTTAAAATGGACGATACCCGGAAGAACAATTAATAACGGAAACAGGTCAGAGAAGGCTAGTGCAGATGTGATATCCGGGACAGAAGGGCAACTGAAGTATCACTACTGCGGTTAAAAGATGAAGAGAATTGGGGTTGCGTTTGTCAGGAACGTATTGATCGTGAGCACAGCTGCTCACATGATTGACTGACAATGACCATGACTTACCCTCCTCAATTCATTAGTTCACCGTTCCGGCATTTTTTTGGCCACTGTCACGTAGGAAGCTTTCGTCAAACGGTTACACACTACCGCGCATTCTGGATTGTCCATCGGGCTACGAACCACACTTATTATTGTCCACGGCAATCGATGTTTCGTTGGCCGAGGATCCCCACTCTTGCGTAAGAAGTGTAGTCCACACAGCAACGGTACAATCGATTGACCCAGAAGTCTGGCTCACGGTGTTCGGAGCCTGCATTCCAGTAGAAAGCCACCCGAAATTTCAGGCATGCTGGCCAGTCCGGCCAAACGAGCAGCTTACGAAGCCTATGCTTGCTCAGCGTCTTGTTATCCAATTCTGTTAGTGTGAATGCTGGGGTCTGATGTAATATAATTCCTTTTGCCTCTATGTATTTCGGGGGATCAGTTGAGCTGACTAGCGAAATGATAGGCAAATGTGAAACTTATATAGGTGGGCATTGTTAGCAACGGAATTCTTCCTTTGATACTTGAGACCGATTTTGCAGCATGAGCAAGTGTAATTGGAGACAGCGCGACGTCCAATCGGAATACAGACAAAAACGGTTGCGCGCAAGTATCAAACCATCCAAGACAATAACGATACTATCTATAGCAGGAATTGCGCAAGAACAACACATCCGATGAATTTGCAGCTTTTGTGAATGTGCCCATTTCCTAAAGGGTTAGATAACTGGCACTGTACCATAAATGGTTCATTTTCGCTCGTGACTTATAGCCACTTGATGACGCAGAAATCCCGGCATCCTTGATCCCGAGACGTTGCAGCAGACTACTATCATTTGATCAGTGGTTCAAAGTTTCATGCAGTCACCGGGTTTTACTGCAATATGTGACGCCAGAGAGGAAAAGGAAATCACGGTCTTCCGTGATGCAGTGAAACGAATCAGAAAGAAGAACCAGAACCGTGTTGGCTATGCAACAGTTGATACTGTAATCACTCTCATCTACTAGAGAATGTATGGTGGGTACGATTACAGCGAGTGAAAAGAAGGCTGTTCATATTGATGAAGCTCCCGGTTACGCAGCTCATCTCGGAAAGAAATCCGCAGAACGTTTCATCGGGGTATGGCAGTGTCCATCAGCTTGAGATTGAATGCTGAGTCAGGCGCCTTTGTTATTTGCGTATGTTCTTCCAATCGTTAGAGTACGCCACCGATGAGAACAACCAAATCTCAAAATTTAACCGCGATATTGGGCTGGTGGCCGAGTGGTCTGCGCGTTTGGTTTGCAACCATAAGGTCACCCGTTCGGATCCGCGTAGAGGTCGGTGTCCTCGCGGTACACTCAGCCTGCGCTCAACTGGTGGTGGTCTCATGGGGCCGAAGCGCCGTTACGGCGTACAGTTGGCGTTTTATTTTTATTTATTTATTTGGCTGGACAAAATTCGCGTGAATCTTGTCACTAGTAACCGAAGTCCGAAACTCTCAAGTATCGAACGGATCAATCGCCAGTTTTTTGTCATTTGACCCTCAGCTGCACACGTGTAACTTGATAGCGAATCATCGGTAACCACTTGTACTGTTCTGTGCTTTCTGTTAGACATCTTACCGCTGCTGCGTAGCATACACTCAAAGCAGCTGTTCGCCGCAGCAATTAGTATTAGTTAGAAACGAGGTATCTTACTATTGCATAAGATGAAGCTTCTTCTCAGTTATCGAGGGCTGCCTACCGTTCTATGAACGCGTTGTGAATGCAGTGGTGCTCTAAACATTGTTACCCTAACAACATGTAGGAGATCCAAGAGCAAATCGAATGAGGTTTATTGTTCGCTGTTGTACCTGCAACTCTTCCTTAGATGACGGAATTGCACGATTCAACCGACTGTACGAGATGTACTTTAGCGTTAAAATTATCAACTAAAGCTGAGCAGTGGTCATAAAGACTGGAAACTGGACCCATTATTGAACGACACTATCTGACTAAATTCCATGTTTACATTGAATGGGCAAAAATGATTAGATGACGTACACAACTGCTGCACCAAATTAGTGCACCGGAAACAACCGTATCTCACGACTGGGCCCACTCGCCCCCCTCATTTTCTCTAGCGTCTGTCGCGAATGTGACGTGTGGCTAAACCATACTCGACCCCCTCGCATTCCTGAATCAATAAAGTAATCGAAGAAGTATATGATTAAAGACAGCGCATCTTAGTGAGGGCGTCAAACACCCTCGTAATCAATGCTTGATCATCATGAACACTCGAGTCTGACTGGGATATTGCGGTTGCAGTGGATACTTAGGAGCTCCTAGGACGAGTGATTTGCAAGCTTTCCGATAGAGGTGGGATGGGAATCAAAATGCTCTCGCCTCGACAGGAAGCTCCTACCCACAAGCTTGTCTGTCAAATTGAGGACGAATGCTGTCGCATTCTGAGGCGGACCCCACGTCTATGTACTGCGAGATCTCTTCATAGGATCGGCTCCGAATGTACAGCGCCGTCGATGAGTTCCGAATACACCGAGCAAATGGCGAGGATAATCTCCATATTGTGGATTTTCGCATAGCACGAAGAACAGAAAGTTCGCTGCAAACCAGTCTTCGTGCTACTCAGGGAGCAAAATTAAAAAAATTGGACTGCGCGTGCATTTGCTTGTGTGCGTAGTTTAAGAAATAAACTATTTGAGACCCAATTCCTTGCCTCAGAGAACCAACCCGATCTACCGGCTTTCATAGAGATCTGGTTATCTTCGCACATCCTAGGTTCCGAGGTATCACTTCTCTCGGATCGAGGTCTGGAAATAGGACGTCAAGGCTCATCCAATGGAGCCCATC